ATCCTAAACACTCTAATCAAATAAGGGGAATCAATTACCAACTAAGAAATAAAATAAAAGCAATAATCTACCTAAAAATATTAACGAAACAAAGATAGAGAAGCTAGGGAATCGGGGATAATTAAATCAAGTTCTATATGCAAAACCGGGACATTGATCATTCTATTCCAGATTTACACTCTAGCTTAAACATTTAGTGGTTCGCTCCCAATAACTCTTCGTAACAAGGAATTGAACATAGACGAACAAGCTCGAGCATACAATACATGTCAATTATCGAATCCCAATAACTTTTCGTAACAAGGGACAAGACGTCGAAAAGCATGTATTTCAACCCAAAACGCATAGACTATTCAGTTGCGAAATCGTCTACCTCATGCGAGCCTAAGTCTACGATTTCTCCCCTTTCGGTTCTAAAAGTCGCTAATTAGACTAGAAGGTGTTTAATCGACTAATCATAGAGAATCAACAAAACCAAACTCGACAAATTAACATCCAATTGTCACCAATAGCAAGATCGAAATGTCACTTTTCGATTATATCAATCTATCGAACATCAATTTCATCAATTCCGAATTAAATCAACTCACATAAGAACGAACAATTCAAGCCCGACAAAATGCACGTTAAACAAGAACAATTATCCCTTATCCCTAGCAAATAGGTTTAGCTACGTAATGTCAATTCAACACAATTCATCATCTCTTTCAAATCAACCATTATTCATGAATTAAAAATAAGAGAAGAACTTACAATAAATCGCAATCCCAAGAGTTGAATTTGAACTACAAGCTTGAACCCTAACTAAGAAGAAGAAGAAGAAAAATGGAAAATAAAGATAAAAAAAGAAGAAAAATGATGGAGAAGAAGAAAAGTAAGGAGAAAAGGAGTTGTCGTGGTGTTTCTCGGACCTAGGGTTTTCACCCGGTCGAGAGTTCTTTTTTTTCTTGTCGAGGTCCCGTCTCTCTCGTATATATAGTCGCACAGTGCCGCGTCGTGGAGGGGTGTCACGCACGAAGTGCGGCGTCGCGCGTGGTGATGCATCGTGCGCGCGAGGACTGCTTCTGTCGCGCCGCGAAGGTGCGTCGCGCCGCGAAGGTGCGTCGCGCCGCGGTGACTACTGGTGTCGCGTCGTGGTGAGTGTCGCGCCACG